CTATTCAGGAGACTCCATTGGGAAGCATATACTTCTGGTCTAAAGGAGTTGGGACACAGGTGTGTAAAGGTGAGTGGTGAACTAGGAGTGCTAGTCTATGTAGGTCTAGTGCAATTGTGCGGTGCTTGAGTGGCTCCTGACAACCTCAATAACAATATGAAGTTAGGCAAAAACTGGTGGAATCCCAATACTGCCTATTTTAACACTTGCTTTCATATTTTATGCGCCTTAAAAAAATGGGTGCACAGCAATTTTGCTTGTGGAGGAGTGGAGAGATTTTCCTTTGGGGTGGGAGATTTTGCTTGCTTTTATGAGAGGAATTTTTCTCTTGAAGATTTTTGCTTGGGGGAGAGCTTGCAATGGGAGGAGTATTTTTCCTTGAAAGTGGAGGGTTTTTTTTTTTTTTTGTTTTTTTTTTTTTTGTCCCTAGGGGTGCCCCAGTTCTTTCATGATCTATACCATATCTACTAGAGAAGTTATGATAATAGTATTCTTCTGAGGTATAAAGGCAGCTGTAATGTATCATCTATTGTTTGCTGTTTTACCATTGTAATTCGCACATTCATTGGGGCTAATTGTTGTTGTTTTGCCTTTTGGTCTTGTAAAGAAACTAGCTGGATTGCAAATCTGTAAAATAAAACCAATCACAATATACACTCTCCGGCCACTTTATAAGGTACACCTTGCTAGTAATGGGTTGGACCCCCCTTTTTTCCTTCAGAACTGCCTTAATGCTTCATAGATTCAACAAGGTGTTGGAAACATTTCTGAGAGATTTTGGTCTATGTTACCGTAACATCACACAGTTGTTGCATCCATGATGTGAATCTCCTGTTCCACCACATCCCAAAGGTGCTCTGTTGGATTGAGATCTGGTGACTGTGGAGGCCATTGGAGTACAGTGAACTCATATCATGTTCAAGGAACCAGTTTGAGATGATTTGAGCTGTGTGACATGGTGTATTGTCCTGCTGGAAGTAGCCATCAGAAGATGGGTACACTGTAGTCATAAAGGAATGGATATGGTCGGCAGCAATACTCAGGTAGGTTGTGGTGTTTAAACAATTGTTACTTAGGGGCCCAAAGTGTGCCAAGAAAATATCCCCCACACCATTACACCACCACCAGCCTGAACCGTTGATACAAGGCAGGATGGATCCATGCTTTCATGTTTACGCCAATTTCTGACCCTACCATCTGAATCTGGCAGCTGAAATCGACTCACCAGACCAGGCAACATTTTTCCAGTATTCTATTGTTAATTTTGGTGAGCCTGTGTGAATTGTAGCCTCCATTTCCAGTTCTTAGCTGACAGGAGTCGGTGTGGTGTTCTGCTGCTGTAGCCCATCTGCTTCAAGGTTCAACGTGTTGTGCATTCAGAGAGAGTATTCTGCATATCTTGGTTGTAACAAGTGGTTATTTGAGTTACTGTTGCCTTTCTATCATCTCGAGCCAGTCTGCTCATTCTCCTCTGACATCAATGAGGCATTTTTGCCCACAAACCGCCTCTCACTGGATATTTTCTCTTTTTCAGACTATTCTCTGTAAACCCTAGAGATGGTTGTGCATGAAAATCCCAGTAGATCCGCAGTTCTTGAAATGCTCAGACCAGCCCGTCTACCACCAACAACCATGCCACATTCAAAGTCCCTTAACTCCCCTTTCTTCCCCATTCTGATGCTCGGTTTGAACTTCAGCAAGTTATCTTCCCCACATCTAGATGCCCAATTGCATTGAGCTGCCATATGATTGGCTGATTAGAAATTTGTTACCAAGCAATTGAACAGGTGTACCTAATAAAGTGGCCGTGAGTGTACATTTGTATGAGATCCTATTGGGCAGATATGCATAAGTCTGAACTATACATCTGCAGAATCCTAGCACGCACAAGAATCATACACCATTCGCCAGCAGAGCCAGGTCATGATTTGGAGCTCATCTTGTTTTTAAGTTTTTTGTAATTGGCTCAGCAAGACTCAGACACTCTTTCTCTGTTTTCTCCAACTGTTAGGGAACACTCAAAGGAAAGCTCAGTCTACAATGGCCTGCTGTTTTGCTTCTCTGGCATGCATTCATTCAGTCATGTGTTTGCTAGGGCCAAAGGTCACTTGGCAGGCATATATGGGGCCCGCTCCAGGAACATGCTCTCCAGTGTTTGTGCTTCCCCTTATAGAAGTGGCTGGATTTAGCTCCAGACAGAGGAACTGAGAAGTTACAAGGAGGATAACGCGTACGCTGGTTTAAGCGAAACCTTTCGGAGGTTAAAATGCCAGGTAAGCTGGAGAATGATCTGTTCTTCTATTGACAGTGTAGTAACTACATAAAGCCTGTACTAATACAGCTATAAAACAGGTTTCCCTTGCCTTCGATTAAAAGGCCAAAGCAAAACCTGGTTGAGGATCTGGCTGCTGGGGGCTCTGCTAGGGGACTTCATCATATATATGTTCATCTATGAGTGATATCTGCTGAGTCACTAAGTGGAATGTATCCTGGTGTGTTTGAGTATGCACAGATTTTTGACACTTTTAGTTGTACATTTGTCTGTCCATGGCCAGCCTTTAATGTTCTGTTATGCACTATTAGCTATGTACAGTAAACTGATGACTGGCCCAAAGTAAGAGGGCAATGCTCTTATGTGTGTTCTCTATATAATATACAGTGGGGATCGAAAGTTTGGGCACCCCAGCTAAAAATTTGTATTAATGTGCATAAAGAAGCCAAGGAAAGATGGAAAAATCTCCAAAAGGCATCAAATTACAGATTAGACATTCTTATAATATGTCAACAAAAGTTAGATTTTATTTCCATCATTTACACTTTCAAAATAACCGAAAACAAAAAAATGGCGTCTGCAAAAGTTTGGGCACCCTGCAGAGTTAATATCTTGTACTGCCCCCTTTGGCAAGTATCACAGCTTGTAAAGGCTTTTTGTAGCCAGCCAAGAGTCTTTCAATTCTTGTTTGAGGTATCTTTGCCCATTCTTCCTTACAAAAGTCTTCCAGTTCTTTGAGATTTCTGGACTGTCTGTCACGCACTGCTCTTTTAAGGTCTATCCATAGATTTTCAATTATGTTGAGGTCAGGAGATTGTGAAGGCCATGGCAAAACCTTCAGTTTACGCCTCTTAATGTAATCCCCCGTGGATTTTGAGGTGTGTTTAGGATTATTATCCATTTGTAGAAGCCATCCTCTCTTTAACTTCAGCTTTTTCACTGATGGCATCAAGTTACCATCCAAAATTTGCTGAAATTTTATTGAATCCATTTTTCCTTCTACTCGTGAGATGTTCCCTGTGCCACTGGCTGCAACACAACCCCAAAGCATGATTGATCCAACCCCATGCTTAACAGTTGAATAGAGGTTCTTTTCATTAAATTCTGTGCCCCTTCTTCTCCAAACGTACCTTTGCTCATTCCAGCCAAAAAGTTCAATTTTAACCTCATCGGTCCACAGAAATTGTTTCCAAAATGCATCAGGCTTGTCTATATGTTCATTTGCAAAGTTCAAACGATGATTTTTGTGGTGAGGACGTAGAAGAGGTTTTCTTCTGATGACTCTTCCATGAAGACCATATTTGTACAAGTATCTCTTTATAGTGGAATAGTGTACCACAACTCCAGTGTCTGCCAGATCTTTCTGGAGGGATCATGCAGTCAAACGTGGGTTTTGAAATGTTTTTCTCACAATCCTGCGAGCTGTTCTGTCTGATATTTTTCTTGGTCTTCCAGATCTTGCTTTAACTTCTACTGTTCCTGATGACTGCCATTTCTTAATTACATTCCGAACAGAGGATATTGACATCTGAAAACGCTTTGCTATCTTCTTATAGCCTTCTCCAGCTTTGTGAGCGTCAACTATTTTCAGTTTCAGTTTTCTAGACAACTGCTTAGAAGAACTCATGGTGCTGATTGTTGGGGCAAGGTCAGATGAGTCTGGGCATTTAAAACCTTTGAGATTGACATCACCTGGTCTTCCCAGACGATGATTGAGAACAATCCATGACACTGGCAGGTCTCAGCTTGGCAAAGGGGGCAGTGCATGCTATAAATTCTGCAGGGTGCCCAAACGTTTGCAGACGCCATTTTTTCGTTTTCGGTTATTTTGAAAGTGTAAATGATGGAAATAAAATCTAACTTTTGTTGACATATTATAAGAATGTCTAATCTGTAATTTGATGCCTTTTTGGAGATTTTTCCATCTTTCCTTGGCTTCTTTATGCACATTGATACAAATTTTTAGCTGGGGTGCCCAAACGTTCGATCCCCACTGTATATATAGAACATAGAGCAAGAGAATTCTGACAGCAGTTAGGAGAAAACCCACTCATACTATCATAATATAAGGTTCCATAAGAGATCACTTTTTTCACAAATGACATTCAATGCCGTCATCTGTGAATTACGAAATTTAATTGGCAACCCTACTTAATAGGAATTTTAGCATTTTTATTTATTTTTTTTATGCTAGTTTTTATTTTTTTTAATATATTTTGTTCAAGACTTTAAAGCAGTATTAAACCCAAAAGCTAACATTTATTATGTATTAAACCCAAAAGCTAACATTTATTATATTGCAACTTACCAATTCTGTGATGGCTGCATTGATTTCCTTCTATTTTCATCTGCTGATCCAGTCAGTAAGTCTGCTGTTTTTCAGAGATTCAAGCTCTCCAGCAGAATGTATCAGCCTACATGGATGAGACAATCCATTTACCGCTGGCAGGGGTGATTTTAAAATGATCAGCTTTTAATTATTCATGTAAAACCTTTATTCCAAGATGAAAAAAAAAGTTTGCTGTAACTGATTATAAAGTGTGAGCTGGAGTTTGGCTTCAATTTATTTGTATTCAAATTTGCTAATACATTTAACACTCCCATCCCCCCACATGGATAGTGCTGCTGATTACTGTATCCTGGCTTATTCCACCAGAGTGGTGTCTCACTAATACTGAAGGTGTGTTACTGGCCATATCACCAGGTGAAAACAGTGGGAAGAAAACTGATGCAACCACCACATCTAATGACTGGTAAGCAGCAATATAATACATTTTTGTTTTTGTGTTTAATACTGCTTTAATCTCTGTTACTAGTATGTTCTAGGCCTCTCTCACACCAGGTTCATTGGGAATGTGCTGGGTACCCTTTCCTTGAAAAACAAGGAAAAAAAAAAAAGTTTGCACTATCATGCAGCAGGGATGCACAATTAAAAAAAAAAAAAAAAGTGCAGCATGCAGTGCTTTTTCAGCGCATCTCAATCCACTACATTACATTGCAATAAACCACAATAAAATGTAACTATCGACATTTCAATAAAGTTATACGGGTGTGAATTGACCCTGAAAGTGTATGTAATTCCTAAACAATCAGTTTTTATGCTGCCCCTGTGATGTTGGGAAGACATTCCTTTTTTCCAAAGGTGCGACAGGAAGAGAGAACAAATTTCTAAAAAGTGATGGGACTTCCCCGCTGGAAGAGTTAAGCCCCGTATGAACGTTGAGAATATCGGACGAATGATCATCAGGGGTTTTTTTTTTGCATGCTAGTCTCATATCGAAAGTGAACAGGTTACTAAAGATATAAAAATTCAGAAGTGATGTAATGTATTTGTATTGTATTTTCGAATGAAAACTGTACTGGTTAAATACTGCAGCTGCTGACTTTTAATAAACATGCACTTCCCAGTCCAGGGATCCAGCACTGTCCTCACCTTGGCTGATTCTTTGGTTCCCCGGTGCCGCCATCTTGGATGTGGGAAGCCAGCTGTTGAGAAGCGCTGTGCATTCTCAATGGACATGCAGATTGTGAACTTAAGCTTTGATCATTAAAACACCCAAAAGTAGTAGAGGGGGGAAGGAGAAAAAGAGTAACCTCCTTTTTAGATTAAGTTCTGCTATTTGAGAGAGGGCACTCCAATAGATTTTAGAGACTGGGGAAGGGGGGGGGGCCACGGGGTGACATTTTCTGTATAACCTAAATCTTTGGATCTACTGATTTTGTTTGACAAGTAGTTATTATCACTGAGGGTAACATTTGCTTCATTTGAATTTCTCTTCTTTGTGACTGGTTTATATGGACTTCCATACATGAACCGACCACTGCTGACAACTGGCTCAAGATTGACTGACTGAAGTGTATCGAAGTAATATCTCCACAATTATGTAAGGGTAATCTTTTCCAGAGTCCAGGGTGAAGGTGCCGGATGCAACACATATATGCAAGTTTTCATGCCTTGAGGTGCACTGCATTGAAGTGGGCAGCCCATTTAAATGGGCTGTAATACCCTGTTGTACTTTTTCAATGTACTACAAGACACACTAAAGAGAAAGTGGGAGTCACATCAGCATTAGTAGATGCAAGAATGGCCCCCAGGATTGACATCAGGGACCACAGTAATAACCCCCAGCATTGGTGCAAGTGGCCACAAGTAATAACCTGCTGCACTGTTGTTAATGTCCACAATAACTCCCAGCAAGCAACAGTGGGTACAGTAAAAAAAAAAAAAAAATTGGTGTTATTGAACACAAAAGGAGTCCCTAGCATTGATGTCAGTAGCAGTACTACCAAATCACGCGCTCCCACACTGCTCTTTCCCCCACCCAGCTAGGATTGTACTTGTACAGAGATCACTCCAATTGACTTTATTAAGTACAGAAGTGTCCTTTTAAGTGCTGGGTGTTGAACATTCTCTGCACCTCTCTGCAATTTTGCAAGATTTTGTGATGAAGAGGATGCAACGTGCCCCATGGCATTCACCAAAAACATGAAACACTACGCTTGGGGCAGCAGCCCCTCCTGCCCCCACCCCCTGCCTCACTGTTCCTTGCTCCAGCTCGGCAGAATGAGGGAGGTTTTCTCTATTAGTTTTTTCCAAGCTGAGATGTCCTGGGTAAACAAAGTTAAATACTTTTGGGGGGAAAAAAAATGTCTGAATGGATTTTCCAAGCCTGTTGCCTTTTTTTTTTTTTTTTTTTTTTTTTTTTTTTTTTTTCCCCCCAGAAAATTTACTCTGCAGATTCTCTCCACTTCTTCACAGCTGGAAATTAGATTTACATCTTCTTTAACTTGTACAGGGGTCATTCTCCAATATATGTATTCTTGGTAACAGTACATGTTACTTCTGTAAGAGTAACCTTTTTCACAATTTATGGTAGACATAAATACATTCTTTGAGCTATAATCATTAAGCAACTTCAATTATCTTGTAGGTTGTAGTTCACCAGCTGTCCACTTGGATCTGTTCAAAAGTCCAGAAAAGAAAACCCCTGGCTGGTACCTGTCACTGATGGCTCCCAATGAAAAAGGACCAAACTATGCCTGGCTGGACCCATCAAGATTGTACTGTAATCAACATGTAGGTGTTTGATAACTCTTCCATAATTGCTATGTTGAATTTACTATGCAGTCATAAAATCACTTTTGTGGATCATTTACTATAGGGACACACAATGAGGCCACAGCGTTGATACTACACCATAAATAGATCCTGTAATCTATTTAAAAGCCAGTTTTAGCCCAAAAATGTAATTTTTCCTTTCGATAGCACAGAGAGAAGGTTTACAGCCTTCATATTTTTATTTTTCTGTGTCCCTGTTGGGGAGATTTCCCCTGTCTGGGGGGGGGGGAAGTTGGAATATCTTTCTAAGGCCCCTTTCACACTTGCGGACCATTTGTTTCATCAGTTCCGTCATGTTTTTTTAAAGAAAAAAAACGGATCAGTTTACATAAGTTTTTTCCACCAGACTTTCATCCATTTTTACACCCACTTAACCACTTTTTTTTTAGGCCTGAAGATTACGTAAAACCCCCCAAAATAATATATTTTCTGAAAGCAGACATCCTAGAGAATAAATGTTGTGGTATTTCCAATTTTTTATGTCACATGATCTTAGTGCAACGGTTTGTAAAATGCGACATTTCAGTAAAAAATACACTAAAGTTAATTTTAGGGCACACAAACACAATTTACCCTTTTTTGGTAAAAAATAAAAGATGAAGTTGCACCAAGTAAATAGATACCCAACATGTCAAGCATTAAAATTGCATGCACCCACGAAACAGTGAAAAAAATGTCATTACCCTTTATTTTCCATAGGTGATGCTTTTAAAAGCCCCTACAGGACATCAGTTTAGTGTTCCTCATGAGCTCTGCTACTGAAATTATTGATCTCACTCTGGCGTGAGTGGTAATATGTAACGTGTAGTACAATTGCATTTTTTTTCATAGGCACCCCAACTATTGCATTTTTAATGTATGCCTGCATATGTAGGTGTGGGGAGTTACGCTTCCCCCCTTTTTTTTTTTTTTTTTTTTTTTCCTTTTCATGTGTCTTGTTTTTGTTTTACTTATGATTTTTATAGCTATCACATAGGAGAGCAATAGTCCCCTATCTGATAGCATATAAGTGACTCTTTCTGGGGTGGGGGGCAGTGTGTGCAAGAAGAGGGATAGGAGCAGTGTATACAGACAGGCTTCCTCACTTATGCTGTGATTGCCGTGGACAGCACAGTGGCTAAATGGGCAGCACGTCCGCTTAGTACTAGAGTCGTTGGTTTGAATCCCAACCACGGCATCACCTGACTAGAGTTTGCAAGTTCTCCCTGTGCCTGTGTGGGTTTCCTCCGGGTACTCTGGTTTCCTCCCACACTCCAAAGACATGCTGGTAGGTTAATTGGCTCCTGTCTAAATTTTCCCTAGTATGTATGAATGTGAGTTGGGAACCTTAGATTGTTCGCCTCTTGAGAGGGGCTGATGTGAATGTACAATATATATATATATATATATATATATATATATATATATATGCGCTGCGTAAATGGACGGCGCTATAGAAGTACCTGTAACAAATAATTGCTGGTTTTAAATGTACTTGCCGGCGTTTTTTTTTGTTTTGTTTTTACAGTGCCAAGAAGGAACTATCATTTGCCCCTGCTAAAGTAAAAAAAAGGGGTGGGGTCACCCAGTGACATCCCCGGATACCCCGCTCCTTTGTTTAGATCACCTCCTTACCTGTCATGAACATTAAAGTGGTTGTAAACCCCTACATATACCAAGTGAAGTGGCTGGCCTCAGATGATACATAGAGGTGAAACAAGTTGTACCTGTTTATCTGAGGTATTCTCTTCTTTACATCTGTTCAAAGTACTGATCTCTCTGCTCTGAAAAGCAGGGGGCAGGGAGCTGAAGTTACATCAGAGAGCTGATTGAAGGGAAGGGACACACCTCCCTTCACACAGGAACAGAGCTGAGGCTGTCAAGCACAGGATGTTCCCGTCATCATTTTTCTTTTGATGTCAGGAAAGTTTGTCAGAAGTGACTCATGCTGTTAGCAGCTGAACAAGGCAGCAGACAGAAATGACCCTTGGGGCTCTGGATTGTACACACTATAGAGGGATATGCTTTGTTCATATTTCTTGTCTGAGGTTTACAACCACTTTAGTTATGGGATTCAGTATATTCACATTGGAAGAGGACAATTTTTTTTTTTTTTTTGATAGTTTGAAGCTTAAGTTGTAGTAACTAAACCCTGCTTCTTAAGCTGGGTACACACGGTCCAAATAGCCAGTTCAGCAGGAACCTGCTGACATTCGGACCATGTGTACAGTTGTCCTTCTGAAAGAAGCCAGTCTAGGGACCGGCTTTTGTTGAAGGGACATGCTGGGAACCAATGGCTGCGAGCGCTGATTATTGTATTCTGGTGGGAGAGGAGTCCCCGTGACAGAACACAGTGGCACAGCTGGAGAGATCGCTGCACTAACATTGCTTAGTTAGTACAGCGATCTATTTTAAAGTGTGTACCAGGCATAGCAATAAGCTGCCTATGTAGATAAAGGGGGTCCACAGATAAAATTCAACTGTGCAGCACTGACCAAATTTGAATAATGCCATTGCTACAGGGTGGGCCATTTACATATCTCATGAAGTCTGACTAAACCTCCCAGGGTGTTGCTAAGGACATTGCTAAGGGACAGCAAGCTGTTACTGTTCACCTTCACCAACACAGGAGTGAGCGCTTTCTCTGATTCAAATCCCCTCACATGCACTTTCTCTCCCCCTGATGCAGTAGCTCTGAGCTCAACATTTGAGAGCTTGCGCTTTTGATGGTGAAGGTAAATAGTAACATCTAGTCAGCTCTTAGCAACATCTTGGATTTTTTCGGTCAGGCTACGTAAATGCCCTACACCTATAGCAAAGTATATTATTCATTTTTAGTCAAAGCTGCAGAATTTTTTTTATTTGCAGATGCCCCTTATCGGCGTAGACAGTTTTTTGGAAAAGGTGAACCAACCCTTTAATTTATCTGCTTTTTTGTAGTGTAAATTGACGACAAATAATTCAAAGAAGAACTCCACGATAGGCAATAAAATCACCCCCTACACTAAACCGTTAATAACATTTAGGAGAAAAATTTAATTTAATTTTCTTGACCTCATCTCTGTAACTTTAAAAGATAACAGCAACTGCTGTGCCAAGGAGGTCTAACAGCAGGGATTACATCATATCCTCTCCTCTCTCTCTCTCTGTAGTAAAAGGAAACTACAGTTCCCATCAACCACAGGGAATTTTGCTGAATGCCGGCAGGTACACTAAGCCTGTACATGTTGAACGTGTCTGAGAGTCTGTCTACCCACCACTGCAAGTGGGGCTGAATTACATCACTTCCTGGAGAAAAGAACTACAGGAGGGATGTGCCAAGACCAGTGGCTGGGGGAATAGTAGGCATAGCAGTCTCCGGTCTTACAAACCGGAAACCAATGAGAATTAACAGTTTGATTTGAAAATTGATAGGCTGTTTCAGAGCAACTACTGAGTGAACCAGGTTAATGACTTATTCAGTGAAGGTAGGAAATCAGCAACAAGGACATGTAGAGAAGTTTTTGCTTCTGCTTTAAGGTTTATAAAACCAGTAATAACTGCTATGCCCAATAAAATATTCAGGTGATGTTCGTGTTTATGTTCAAACTTGTGCTGGCTATAATCTTATGTCATCGCTCTGCTGGATCAAGCATGGTGCCAATACTGTACTTCTGTGACACATAACATGACATCTGATCTTAGCAGAGAGGGCACAGGGCACTGCAGGGGGAAGCAAGCAGAGGGATGAGATCAGGGATCTATAAAGCTGACTGTGCAGGCAGCTGAGAGCACTGAGCATTTCCCTGTCATCAACTGTGAAACTGTCTTGCTGGGTGACAGGCAGCGATCATGCTGTAGATTGGACCAGAACAGAAAGGGGGTAGAGAGATCCCTTGTACAGTAGGAGTCAGGGATTTCCTATGTATACAGAATGCTACATATTGTGCCTGCTAACCCCTTTAACCAGACTGCTACTGCAAAATTCCTGTTGAAGACCCTGGGGTGATGTTATAGGCATTTAAACACAGAATACCTTCACAGAGCAGGAATATAAGAAGAAAATTTAATTCAACCCTTTTACGGCCTACGCCTTTTTTGCACGTTTAAAAAATAATTTTTAAGATTATGTAAAACACCTGAACCATTAAATACTTTCTAAAAGGTCACACCATAGAGTATAAATTTAAGAAAAATACAAAACAATATTGTGGCACCTGTGAAATCAAATGAGAATATGTAATTAAACAAAATGAACACAGAATTATAAAATCTGCCATAATCGGGTAGTAGTGGCAGCTGCCCCTATTAAATGAATAAACACTCTGTATAACAAACCAAAAATAGATAGGCACTTGCTCAATAAAATAGGTATACTAACATGAAAGTAGACACACATATATATAAGAAGTGTTCTCCCAACACCATGTGAATAATTAACTAATACAGGTTATAATAAAGTCCAAAAATTGATGAATGAGAGTCCCCATAGGAGGGTGTCACATAAATCCAATGAATTCTTCTCCAACACTCATGAGTAATAGATGAATTTCTCACTCACTAGAAGGTGTTGACCCCCGCTTGGGTGGTCAAATAATGCTAGGTAATCAAATTGTGTGTGGGTTCCCAACTGCAGTCTTTCATACGATGAATCTCCAAGCTCCCCTTCTAATAATGGCTCTCCAGAAAGCTTGTGCCCATTGTCCGACAAAGTCCTTGGTTAAAGGTAAGTGTCCTTTTTATAAAGCAAACCATTTCAGCCAAGCTCCTAGTTGCCTCCTCATACAGAGACACACACACACACACACACTCTCTCTCCCTGAGAGTAGGACCAGCTGCCGGTAACTAGGAGCTTGACTGAAATGGTTTGCTTTATAAAGGACACTTACCTTAAAGTACCATGGACACATTTGTATGCACCTTAGAAATGGTGACCAACTTTAGTACCCTATATTTTCTATAGGCTACACTTGAAAAGCCCCATATAAGTTATCAGGTTA